TGCTGTGAGGGAGGACCTCCGTACAGACAGACACACACACACACACACACACACACAGTACTCACTCATGTTAGAGCCATGGTTGTACTCAAACTGCTGCGGCTGCTGTGAGGGAGGACCTCCGTACATACCAGGACCCCCAGGACCCCCGGGACCTCCGTTCTGGCTGTACGGCTGAAACATAACGACACATGACACACAACACGTCAAATCTTGTTGTAGATAGAAACATAGAAACACATCACACACAACACGTCAAATCTTTTTTGAAAAATTATTTTCAGCAAGAGTTTTACGGCACATGCAACACAATTAGGTCATTTAAGGTGTTACTGGAGAGTAACGTACAAAGAACGGGAAGAAGAGAGATAAGGATGATAGACGTCTGATAGAAAAAGATTTAGCAAACTACACCAGAGCACCCACCAACCACCTGCCATTACATCATTTATCCTGATAATCTTACTGTTGTTGTTGTTGTTAGCGATCCAGAAATAATCTTACTGTATGACTATGACAACAGTCAGTACTCGTAACTCTCTTTATATCAGTCACAACACAGTGGAAGGATGCGCTCATCAATTTTTGGGCATGTTATTATGGAGTTATTGATATCATGTAAAAGCTTGTTCATTTGTCAGGCTGCTTTTGAAGACAAAAATACACATATGTGAGCTGTGCTGACAAAATGAGTTACTTTTCGCAATCCACAAATGAAGATATTGGCCAAAAAATCAACACTAAGGTCAAATTTGTAGATTTTCTATTGATGCCATATTCTTTAAGTGTAATAATATGCCTGCTATTATTTCATACTTATGTATTTTTTAAAAACTTATAAGCGTGATGTATCTATTTCCATATGGCTCGAGTCCAAGAAGTAACTCATTTTGTCAGCACATTTCACATATTATATCTGGAATAAAAGTTGAGACATTTACGATAGAATGAGGTGGGGATTGCCTTGTTTCAGAGGTAAAATCAGTGAGAAAATGACCATCAAAGTTTGGTAACATCCAAAGCTTTATTGTACTTGGAAACTGTAAATGTACCTGACTGTGCTTTTAGTCAACGTTTTTCCAGTAGGGAGAGGAAAGTTAGGATGAGGATTGGGGGGAGAGGGGAGGAGAGAGAAGGGGGAATTGGGAAGGAAAGATTGGGGAGGGGGGGGGAGAGTAACAAACACAAAGCAATGTGCTTTTACAGGGATATAAAAAAAGGTATTGAGTCGAAAAACAAGAGTTTGTTAGAAAAACTGGAAGAGGCAGAAAAATGCCTGTTTCTTTGGTTTCATTATTTTGACGAGAGCCTGATTTCCCAATGATGGCTTACAAAAATACATGTATATTTAGATGAAACAGACCTATCGAGTTTTGGGAATGAGTGAGGAGAAACACGCTGTCCTTTAAGGCAGAGAAAAGAGAAAGTTAGTTTAGTTTTAGTAAGAGTTTTACGGCACTTGCAACACAATAAGGTCATACAAGTGCCGAAGAATAGATTATGCGTTACAAGAGAGTAACAAACACAAAAAAAGGAGGTGAGATAGGGACGACAGATGTTTGATAGGAAAGAAAGAGCAGACCACACCAGAGCACCCGCCAACCGCCCACGAAAAGAGAAAGATGCAGACAGAAACAACAGAGGGAAAGCACAGAAGCAGGACCGACCAGAGGCGCCCTCCAAACATCCTCGCAGGGAGGCTTAACATTGACATATTTATACGTGCAAAATTTTCAACTTAATTTTTCATTAAACTCAACCACAAACAAAACTTTCCTCATCCAACTCTGTCTCAAAACAAAACAGGATTCATCAGAACCAACAACAAACCCAAACCAAACATTCTACTCCAACACATACATATAGGCCTATATCTTGTCCATCAACGTCTGACGACGACCAATACATCTGCAGAGGAGAAGATTTCTTCAGCCAAGTAGAAGAACTTGAAGAATCAAAGGTTCGTTTTTTTTAGTTTTAGTAAGAGTTTTACGGCACTTACAACACAATAAGGTCATTAAAGTGCCGAAGAATGTAGGTTTTTTAATAAGGAGTAACAAACACAAAAAAGAAGGAGGGGAGATAACAACGATAGATGTTTGATAGGTAAGAAGGAGCAAACCACACCAGAGCACCCGCCAACCACCCACTATTAAAAGTAACGATGACTTCAACACAAAATAAATAAAAAAATTATACGCCAAGACAAACAAGACATTATACTCCAAGACAAAACAAAATATTCTATCACAAAACAAAACCCCACCCATCACCACACACTCCCCACAATGGTCTGGTAGACACACACACAAACACACACACACACACACACACACACATACACACACACACACACACATACACACACACACACACAGACA